TCTTGGACCAAATATCTGACGACATCGATCCTCGTCAGTACGCCCAACGCAGACACTCCACCACTCATGCCTTGATCTACCTGTTGCAGGCTGTACATGAATCCACTGACACTGGAAACGCTTCGGCACGTATTTTCTTCACTGATTTCACGAAAGGGTTTGACATAATCGATCACACAGTACTGTTACATGAACTTATGTCATTTAATGTTGACCCAACTCTAATACTTTGGATCCGATCATTCCTTACAAATCGAATGCAAGCTGTTCGCATTGGCCACTCGGTATCTACTTGGAACCATGTAAATGGAGGTGTTCCACAAGGAACTAAACTTGGCTTGACTCTATTTAACATTATGATTGATAAGTTACTAAGAAACTGGAAACTACGCACAATGTTTGTAGACGATAACACCGCTGTGGAAATCATCCCACGAAACTCTATCAGTATGTTAGATCTAGTTGCCAGAGAAATCCACGACTACTGCAAAGATCACAGAATGATATTAAATCCCAAAAAATGCAAAGAAATGTACATCAATTTCATGTTAAACCCTAACATTGTAATGCGCCCAATCTGCATTGATAGTCACCAAGTGGAAAAAGTAAAGTCCTTTAAGTTATTAGGTGTTATAATTAGTGAGAATCTTAAATGGAACAAACATGTTGAATATATAATCGCCAAAGCTTCCAAACGATTATATGCTTTACGACTTTTAAAACGTGCAAATGTACCACCAGAGCATATCCTTAAAGTCTATATATCCAATGTTAGATCAATTTTGGAGTACGCAGTACCTGTATGGCAAGACATATCCCAGCAACTCTCTGATGCCCTTGAGTCCATCCAGAAAAGAGCACTGAAGATCATATACCCTGGTAGCACCTATACGCAGGCTTTGAGCCAAACGAACATTCCAACTTTGCATAGCCGTAGAGATAAATTATGTCAGAAGCTGACCACTGAGATGAGAAACGATCCTAGTCACCCTATTTCGTTTCTTCTACCCAAGCCAACAATAAAAACAATTAACTATAACCTTAGATCAACTGGAAATTTAAAAGAAACCATTGAATCTAAAAGAACCAAAAGAACCTCGGACTTTGTTACGTTTAGATATTGTAATTAATTGTATATAGTTTTAAGAATTGTATTTTGCATTGTAATTAATTATACATTGCTTCTTAAGAATTGTATTTTGCACTGTTTATTCAGTTTTTAACTGCAAGAAGTGTTCAATAAACTTATTATATTATTATTATACAATAACTTTTGACAAATCTCGCATGGCAATGCAGACGTGACTCAAATCGTTCACTCTGATAGTCTTTCTTGTGAAACAAAGTAAAAATATAGATAGACTTATTTTAATTGTAGTAATTTAAAGGTCAAGTATACCACAGTATCAAAATCAGACAGTTTGGCGCCGTAGCAGCTATCTCGACAAGAACTTAGGTCCTGCTCTATAAAAACCATATATGATCGCTTCAATCTTCATCTAGGAATACTTCTCCGTGAATAGCATTGTTTCCTTTAATCCGGAAGAGACATAATCCCTCATCAATTTGGAAAATTTAGGCTATGCAACTCAGAATAAGACACCCATGTTGAGGCAGCCTTCAGTCAGCTACGTCACCATGTGACTTTGGTTTTCCTGTGCTATTTAACCAGGAAATTATGGATTATTTTGGTTGTCATGTTACTTCATAGGTGAACACGTGATAGGCTGATTACTATGGTATAATTGACTCTGGGGTACCTTTGTCCTGGTAACTGCAAAAATGTGTGATTGGGCGGGAGATTTAGTACTCTGAGCACGTCTTATCTTTTATTCAGTTACATAAAGCACACACGTCCTCCCACATGGTTCGTAATAAGCAAATTTAATAGTATATAAGTCACGCAAAATGTGGTATTAGACAATGATATGCCGTAGACTCGGAGGTAGACATATGTTTACTTAATGAATATCATGACGTCACGTGTGACACAATGACACAGGGATCCCAGATGAAGTTGTTTGATTTTCGATTAGAAAGAATGCAATGCTAATGATGACATAACTCAATCTATATTACGTTACGTGACGAAATGTCACAGGAACCCCGAAAGTTGCGGATTGAACTTCCGGTGTCCAAACGTGACATGACACATAGATAGGCAAAAAAAAGTCGGCATAGCCTATGGTTTGCCCGACTAAAAATAAAGTCAATGCATTTTATAAGCGTGCCGCAGGCCTTCGACCTGCATACAGCCATAAGCCTTTTTCCAGTTCAATGAGAGCGACGGCTGTTTTAGTACTACTAGACAACAGACTCACTTGCGTAGAGAACAAAAGAAAGCATGAAAAATGTTCACATTACAATAGCTCTGGAAATTGGAATCTTCTCCGATTTGAGGCTTAGCCTGAGCAACAGGCTATTTATAGGGCTATTCTTTTGTTTTTTGTAAGGTCTTTACGCATGAAAGACTGTTGTTAACTAAAGCAGCGGTTGCTCACTTTGAACGGGAAAAAGGCGTATTAGTTTGCCTACAATGTTGAGAGAAGCTTACCATAGAAAGATTCCCAAGTCGTCCACATGTGCTGTAGCAAGGTATTCTCCTGTGGGAGACATGGCCAGGCTTGTGGTTGGGCTTTTTACAAGAAAGCAATCAAGGAGTCTAGAACAAAAATTAAAAAACTTAACAATTCATGAGCTATTGATTGTTTTCACCCATTCCCATGAGATTCAAAAGTTAAAAGTCTGGCGGCAATGTTGGAGGAATGAACAATGGATACTAATGAGAAATTCTTTGTTAAAGTTCCTCCAAGATGGCCGCTGTGACGTAACCTGAAAACGAAGAATTAGACCAATCGGTGCCACATGATTGACCGTTTACTCACAATTTTTGCGGTCATTTTGATTCTAGAGAATAACGTTGAAGAATAATTTTTTATTTTTCAGTAAACTGATGAGCTATCTTAACGTGTCTTCACAAGGATAAGAACAAGAAACTATTATATTTTTGAAAATCGCACAAAAATCGCCCGACATAAACTGGCCTTTACAGCGCATCACAAAACATAAAAGAAAACGAAATCTCTATAAAATGAATTCTTCATATCGAGATTCATATGGCCGGTAGTTATGATATATTAAACTAAGGTGTTGACGATATGCACGCATGTTTGTGACCACATTTGTGTAAAAAGTAATCACCCAGCAGCATTGGATATGGTTTATAGATTCACTTCCTTTACTTTTTTAGTTAGGTCACGACTTACAAGTAAAGGTTATTGCTTATCGAGAGGAATTGTCGATGAAAATCCGATGCAAAATGGTCCTTTAAATTTAATCCTAAATGCAAAGAACATTTTACCCAAAAACTATCATGGTCTTCGGTTATTTTTTGCACGTTTTAACGAATTTTGCTCGCAGAAATCTTGGAATTAACAGCCTAATTAAAAAATTAATCATATCATTGGACAGACCAACACAAAATAAACAAGATTCCAAAGTTTGGTTGCTTTTGGTTGAATAATGTGTAAGAAATGGACCTTCAAAATTGTCAAAAATTAAGAAGAAATGTATGTACTGGATGGACACTGTCCATCCAAACCATACATTTCCTTGTAATTTTCGAACATTTTGAATGTCCATTACACATTACACATTATTACACATTACTTAACCAAAAGCAGCCAAACTTTGGAATCTTTACTTATTTTGTGGTGGTCTTTCCAATGATATGATTAATTTTTTATTAGGTTAATTTAGATAACTAGTACCCAGACTCCTGCTCGTTTAGGTAAAGGCCAATTTGGTCACATGCATGGACCTTTATATCTGATAAATCACCCCTTATTAGTATTCTTTATAAAAGAATACTGGACCTTTATATCTGATAAAGGTCACCCTTATTAGTATTCTTTATAAAAGAATACTAATAAGGATGACCTTTATCAGATATAAAGGTCCATGACCATTGCAAAGGTCTCAGGTTTGATACCTGATCATTGACCAATGCAGGATGTCAACTGCTTGCAGCAAAACAGCCACCAGCATTTTACTTTATGCCTATTCAATGTGGGATGACAAGAGTGCTTTGTATAGTGATTCACGCATGATCAGTCCCATTTATCTTAAAACTTATTTTTACGACAATTTCTACAGATCGTGTTTTAAACTATAGATAAGTTGCCATTGATAGTTTCTTATTGAAAGTCACAGAGGTGGAGATCGTAGTTGAAATATTTTTCATGTGCAGACAAATGTTCCATGTGCTCCCTGATTTATGAACGATAACTTTGACAAGTTGCAAGGAGTTTTTATTACCTTCCTCCAGGAAGGTCCCAAGTTCTTATACTTGAATCCATTGAAGAAGAAACAAGCCATCTGGCATCTGGACTAAAGGTCTGGAAAATTTATAAAAATAATAATTTTTTGATGCTGTTAAAAGTTCAGTGCATACAAGAATCCAACATTCAGCTCCAAAAACAAATATTGAATGATATATCAGCTGAAATTGACTCAGAAAAAAAAAAATGGTTAGGAGGAGCTGAATCGATTCAATTAATCAATTTGTTTTAGGAAGCATTTCCGAGCAGTTTCAAATTCTAGTAGACAACCCAAAAAACTTTTCACAGATAACTACAATTTGTTACTACAATTTTTTTTTCAATGAAACTTTCACAAACTAAACATTTGTTTTATATTTTTGTAGCTTGTAGCATTGTTCAGAGAGCCACTACAACAAAAAGGTTAGCATCTTACTAGATCTGTGATTCTGTTAGTGTGTCCTGTAAAGGTTCTAACAGCTCTTCTTGTTTCAATGTCAACCACATGGATAGAAAAGTCATCACAACTTACGGCAAGAAGAGAACTGAAACAAAAACATGCAGAAACAATAGTTAATACACGCCACACAGAAACGATACAATATAAAATAGATACTAAATAGAGGATATTACATGGGCACGCGGAGATACGGATTTTATCTTCGAGTGTTGAAAAGATCTTGAAGAGGTTTTCAATGACTGATAAAATGAGCTTCTTGATTTATTTTGAGCTTATATCCATTAACAACAGTATCTCAGAATTTCAAAGCAATCATGTCATGCAAAATTTTTATAACTAGATGAAGAATCTAAATGTTTAAAAACATGAGAGGGTTTATCCTGTTTTATAAAGATGCTCATGACACGTTTTGAAAAATGGCGAGTGTTACAACTCACACAAGTAAACTTATAAACTAAACGTGATCGTAGAGCCAATGGAAAGGATCCTTTGTTGAAATAACTTAACTTAAAAGAGAAAAAATATTTATTTTCTTTATGGAAGGTTCCAATGTATGGGATTTTCATGAATCTGAGCCAATCAGCGTTGTAGTAAGATTTCAAAACCAACAAGTAAGAAATACTGTACAAAATCACTTTCCATGATGATGAAGTTTTTTTATTCATCAGCCTGCTCAAGCGATTTTTGTGCGTTTGAAAATGAGGGTTCTGTTTTACAAATTATAAGTTATTAGTGGTACAACTATGTTACAATAATTCAATGCTGAAATAGGTAATTATAAATAAATTGAGACCTTGATGAATGGAATTGTTAGACTTGCAACAAGTTGAACTCTCATTGAACTAACAAAAAATAAAGGAAACTTCGGGAATCGAGCAAAAATCTGGCCGATACATACCAAAACCTTCTCTGCAAGCTGACTAATCCAAAGAGCATTTACCGGTATATCTCATCTATTGCTTCTAGAAAATCAATACAATATCCTTCTTGTTTCGCACTGATCAGGTGATTGTATTCTACTAGAAAAGTGTAGCTCCCGAGCGGGGCTGCGAGCGGAGCACCATAGATAATAATTATTCATCGAGTCCACTTTTCATGCACCGATACAGGGTTCCAGCGCGTAGTATTTTTACGTCCTGTGTGTGAACCACCTCAGGAAACCCATACTCCACACAAAAAGGAAAAAGAATCACCAATATTTTTGAAACATCAAGATTTTTATTTTTTCCTCAAAAATTTGTCTTTCAAAATGATAATATTAGAAAAATTAAACACAATCAAGAAATTGACAGGAGCGTGGAATCGAATCACAAAAATATTTCCGCCAATTTTGTAACATTGCAACATTTGCACATCCGGGAAATCGATTTGCGAAAGATGAAAAGCAATTTATTTTCAAGCGTTTTGAGGCCAACTTTTAGTAATAAGAAAAAAGGAAAACAAAAAAGATGATACTTTATTGGAAATACTGCAATGAATATGTAAAATATGCAAGATTTTTTTGTACAGTTTTCTGGGATGTAAAGTTCAAGTAGACCGGGTCAAAGCATTTATATCATCTGCTTAATTGTATGTAGACTATTTTTGCAGAGACGTTTTCAGTTTACAGATTATAATACTTTCGTCCAAATAAACAAAAACTACCACAGTCATTGAATTCAGAGTGCGAAATTCTCGTACTCTTTCTTTTGTGTAACCCGTAGCGTAGTAGTTGAGCTAAGCTAAATAGTATATAATAAATATGTTCGCATTTCAATAAAAGATGTTATGTTTACATTCCTTGAAACAGTGTAATCCTACTAATTAAAGGTTATCCTTGAAATAGTAGTACTACATAATCATTCTATTCAATTCCTATCGGAGCTCTGCTATTAGGTGTTACCTAATTGTTACCTAATGGCCAATCTCATACACAGAGCCTGCATTACTTTTGGTCTGCGACAAAGAACATAATAAAAAACCGGAACCGACATTTTGCAATCTCGTACCCAGAGCCCACACTTTTGACATCCAGCGGAATTCCATGCATGAGAGACTCTGGAGGAACTCAATTTTTTCTTGATTCGTGATTGGCTGAAAATGACGCGAGCACGCATTGTTTTCAAGTCGGTTTTTTGAGTCGTCAGCGCGCGCCGCGCTCGCCAGATTAGTCGAGAAAACCATTAACGCATAACCACTCATGTTTTCACATATTTTTGTTTTTAAAAAGGTGTAAATACTTTTTCTTAACTAGGTTGTGTGCCAAACATTCTTCTTTTCTGTCATTTTAATGCTCTAAAAGCAGGAATCAACATTCACCTCATTTGCATAATTTGCGACGGAACAGCGTCGCAAATGCAGTCGATTCCTCCAGAGTCTTTCTGGCGTCAGCATACCACTGACATTAGCCGTGAAGCCTCTGGGCTTGAGATTGCACATTTTGTGGTTCCGATCAGCGCCATACAACGAGGGCTCGACTCTGTGGTTGCTGACCGAAAGAGAACACAGGCTCTGGGTACGAGATTGATGGGAGATTTAGTACTCTTTCTACTCTGAGCATGTGCTTATCTTTCATTCAGTTACATAAAGCACACGTCTTCCGCATAGTTCTTAATAAGCAAATTTAATAGTACACAAGTCACAACTCGATATCAAAACAGCTAATCATCCGAGGAAGTAGCTAATCCCATTAAAGAGTGCTCAATACATATTCGAGGTAACAGCAAATCTTGCCTCTTCGTTATTATATATATCAAAACAGCTATATATTTACGAATGAACATTCAATTGAGAACAAAACTAGTAAGTACTATAGCGACAAAATAATCTTTCAAAGACTCAGATATCATTTGTAAGCATAAATCGACAACAACTTCATTGTACTCGTGACCACAAACAATCAATCAACAATCATCAATAAAGAGCAATTGTATGTTAATGAGCACTTTGTCTACAAACGTATGTATCACAATTATTCAGAAGTCATTAAAGATCAGATGTGTTCTCATATTTTTAAGCTTAGAAAAATTCTTTCAAAAAATAGATATGTACCAAAGTTACCAATCGATACTAGTATCATATTTGTCATTGTTTTCTTGTAATTGCCGGATTTCAAGCCGAGTGGGGACTGGGCAAATCCCCTAATTGGATAATCACAAGATAAGACTTACATAGAAAGAAAGCCCACGTTGAGAAATGCAAAATTCCAAAATCTGGCATCAATCAGTTCAATAAAATTTCCAAAGAAATGTATGGGAAGCCGTGAATGTGTCCGCATTTTGACCATTTCCCAGACACATTCGGGAGATTACATACATTTCTTTGGAAATTTTAGAATGTTTGAAAGGCTGTAACTCGTTCACTATTGAACTGATTTACATCAAATTTTGGAACTTTGCATTTCTCAACAAGGGCTTTCTTTCTATGTAAGTCTTATGTCTTTGCCCAGTCCCCCACTCGGCATGAAGACCGACAATGGACAAAACCATACTTCCAATTATTTCGAATATAAACTCAGTACAGATATAGAAAAGAATCCTGGTCCTACTTCAATGTACATTGACCCAAACAAAATAATAACACCATATAGATTCAGAATCTTTCACCGCGTTCAAGAAAGGTTAGCCTGGGGAGGGGGTAGGGGAGGCAGAGCAGAAAAAAGGAGAGGTTCTCAAGCGCGACACAGGGGCAATCAGCACACATGAGCTGGCTACGATGATGGAAGACAGGGATGTTTGGAGTGCTATTGTTCAATCTCAGAGTCATCCGCCCTAACTAACTAACTATATCTTCATTACTATTTGTAAAAAAATCGAAATATTTCATTGTATGGTGGTGTTTATAAACTGAGTCTTCAATGCAAAGGATTATCACACAAATTATTCTCAGAGACGCAATAGCGCATTTACTTGTTTATTTCAGGCAACAAGTCAATTCCTTTGAGCATCTTTTAAGCCAATATATTTACATTAGCCGCATAGATGGACCTGAAAAATTCCTTGAACGAGCGGCAAACCACGGCCGTAAAGCAAGGCAGAGATGGAGCAAAACAACTCCTCCGGGGCCAAAAGAAACCCCGAAATGGGGATAATCAATTCAATGCCTTCGAGAGGCAAACTTTACAATATGGTTTGTCATAGAGTACAAACATTAAAACTGTGCAACATAAATACCACTAAATACTGCTAAATTATGCTAATTCTATTGTTTTCTATTGTTTAATTAGTACTATTTTGAATGTAGTAAATAGTGTAAAGTGTTGCACGCTTTTAGTGTTTGCACTCTAACTATTATTACACTTTTTGCCACTAGTAAATCTTTTGAAAGAAGTATACCCCAAGTTTGATTAAAACTCATAATCATAATAATGTTAATTAATCATTCCTGTTTAATTAGTTGAATAGATGTGATATGATACACAGTTATTTTGCTGAACCATAAAAATCCAAAATTTCAAACCATAGTATTTTTACAAAGTCGAGCCTTTTGCTTCACTCATTTTACATTTATTCACTTTTTGTCCATCCAAATCTCCTTTATTCGATTTCATGCTTTCATCCAAATGCAATCAAAGACTGCAACTACCCTTCTTGGAATAGCTATAAGAAGAATCTGAAGAAACATGTACAAAAACAAACCTTTCTCTATGTAGTTGAATCTGTGTTACGGGTGCATCCCAAGACATAGTATGAATAAGTGTTCGCTTCATGAAATGCCAAAACTAAAAAACAAGAGATTGAATTACACATGCGTATATGAATCAATTTCTCAACAAATTCATTTTACAGACCCCGGATATAGACTTCAAACATTCCTTTTACCGTATGCTGCGAGCAGAGGATTTTTTCACCCCTTTCCACTAAGAAAAGAAATTACATTTATTTTTCTTCGTAGAAGGGGATGGAAAAATCCTCTGCTGGCAGGGTATAATTACCGTGACTTGTACGAAGTATATGGTCTTTTTTTGTTCTTGTTTGTCCAACGTTACAGTCCGAGCGCCTCACGATTGTAGTTCAATTCAAGGTAACTAATAAAGCCCATGCTATGACGCCCGGCATTCAAGGACCAACTACTGAACATTTATGTCATTTAACTTTACGAGAGGTTGTTTACGAGACAAAATGTTCGGTGAATATTCAGACACGTTTTTACGAGAAAACGCTTTCTGAATTGAGCAATTACTTACGAGTGAGCCCTCTATCGACCGAGACTGAGAACAAACTTTTAGAAGACGATAATGTAATATGACTTGTACTGTGGTGCGATAGTTTACTTTCAGCTAACAGAAAGCACCGTAAGTATATACACGAATGTTTAGATACAAGAGTTTACATGTGATTGTGCCTTCTCTGTGCATCCCTTCATTGAAGATATCCGTGCTACGATACTGTAGCTGAAGTCAAACTGTTCACGGTAAGTTCCATGGAGTGACTTTCGTTTAATATTTAATAAATAATACTTCCTTTGACCTCATTATGTATGATGCTGCTTTGTTTCTGAATCAGCGGGAATAGTTAACGTTTAAAATTAATGGAATCAAGATGGGGTAAACACAATGATTATGGTTAACTTCATCTTGGGAAGTTGTCCTTCAGCAGTAATTAGGATTTACCTTAAGTGTACAATCAGCAGATCCTGTCAATAACTGTTGGTTGATACCATCCAATGCAATACCCCTTAGAGTTTTACAATGTGCTACAGAAGAGATAAAAAAAGATACGAAGTGACTAACCCTAGCCCTTACCCTAGTTCAAACTCAAACCTGACCCAATTCTAACCCTAGCCTAAATCTTAATATATATGAATATTTTGTGGGTAGGACCGAATGACTTGGCACTTTAAAAAAGGAGCTTGTTCTTGGCTTGCTCAATAAAACAATAGGCAATAAATATAATAAATAATATCCTATTAACAGTTCTGTTAAGCCTATTATTAATCGTAAATACTTTTTACTCACTTCTGATACTAACACTTCTCACAACCGACCCCTCTGCTCTAATAAACGTGATCGTAGCCTTCATTCTTTCCTAGTCAAATGTGTTCTTCATTCTAATAACTATCCTGGCACTTTCCGTTGCTCACGTAAGCGTTGTAACACTTGTCCGTACATTGTCTCGCACACTTCCATTGTTGGTCCTAACTTTTCACTGATCACTTTGATTGTACCACCTCTAATATTGTCTATTGTATTAAATGTTCGCTTTGTAATTTATTGTATGTCGGCAAGACTGGCCGTTGTCTGGGTGATCGTATCCGTGAACATCTTTATAATAATATTCGTCGTAACGATCTTGATAAGCCTGTTTCCCGCCACTTTAACCTAACTAACCATTCACTTTCTAACTTTATTATTTTTGGTTTGTCTTTGATTAGCGGCAATAATGATTGTCGCAAAACCAAAGAAATGCGGCTTATTCACCTATTGTTCACTTATAACCCCCAAGGGTTGAATGAACGCTTTGTTTTCAGATAAGTTGTTTATCCTTTGTTCCCTTTTTTAGCACCTTTATTGTCCTTTTGTCTAACACTTCCTTTGCTTTTTCGTTTGTTTCACGTTACCATGCCTACTTTGCTCCTATTTGTCTATTTTCTTTCTTATTCTTACTATACAAACTCACCCTTTACCTAGTTTCATCATTTTTACTCCGACGAAGGATTTTAATCCTTAAAACATYYGAAACGTCAGTAAGTTACTTCTCCTACTTTTTTACGGTGTTTAATTTATCATTTTACACAACTGTTTCTTTAGAAACACCGACACAGCTCACACTAGTTTACCGCTAGTTCCCACCATCTCTTCTTAGTAGTTTATCTGAGYGCACTGACAATGTTGCTGCTGCAAGCTCCAATCTATCGTCATCTGCCTGATTGGGACAAGTCTTGACTTTCCAAAAAGAAAGGTACAATGGGTCTTTCCTTGCGTACTCAATAGACGTAGGTATGATCCGTATGCGCTTTGGGATGCGTCTGAGAAATGGTGTAATTCACTTGTTGCTATGTCTCCAAAATCCTTAATACATGGCTTAATACATCGATTTGTTACCAAACTTGGAAGTTGTTGGAGTTCTTTTAGCAATCGTTCCCATCGCAAGCGAAATTCATCTGGAATAACCCAGATTCAACTTGAGTCTTGTGAGATCTTGCAGAATTATCCCATGCCACTCCCAGAGCTCTTTCAGTAGGTAGAAATAGATCCTCGCTATCAAAGTCCAAATTCTTGATCTCTTTGGCTCTTTCAGAAGGAGGTAATGTCTTTAAAACCTCTCGGTTGTTGGATGCCAACTTAGTGAGCTTGAAGCCTCCCTTGGCCATGAGATCACATGAGGTCGTGAACGAGGTCAATAGACCTAATCGGCTTCAACCCAATTCAAACCACCCGGGAGTAAGTTTCATTGTTCGTTGTATTTTCATTTCACAGTTGAATTCTTAGAAACAAAAGTTCTTTTTCCTACAGGATTTGAATTGGGTGGCAACGAACATAGCAACGCCGTCAGCCGATTAGGTCTATTGCATCCACAGACGATGGAATCGATTTGAGACAATCGTCCACATAGAAATTTCTCAATACAGTTTGGACGGTTCTTTCATCAAATGTTCCCTTGTGGTCTTCTGCATTTCTTCTCAAGGCAAAGTTAACACAGCTCGGGGAGTACACCGCACCAAAAAGATGGACGGTCATTTGATACTCTTGAATATGCTGTTACCATTAGGCCACCATAGGAAGCGTAGGAGATTTTGATCATTAATTGGAACTCTGACCTGGTGGAACATGCTTTCTATATCCACCATCAATACAACGCGGTAGTCTTCACGAAATCGTAACAGTACGCCAACAAGGCTATTGGTGAGATCTGGACCTTGAAGAAGTAGGTCGTTCAAGCAGACTCTTTCATACCTTGCGGAGCAATCGTAAACCACACGAAGCTTGTTTTTCTGCTTGTGACGTGCTCCATGATGTGGTATGTACCATGTTTGATCTTCATCGCATGGTATGTCCTCTGGGTCTACTTTCTGTGCGTATCCCTTCTCTATGTTGTCATTCATGAAAGCTGTATATTCTTCTTTTAGCTCGGGGTCTTTATCCAATTTGCGAAGAAGGTACTGCGCTCTTCGCATTGCCAGAGGTCTATTATTTCTCAGATGCAGATTCYGGTCTCTTATYGGTAGGGCGACCTCGTAGTGGCCGTCGCTTAGGTGCTTTATTGATCTCTGCCGACTCGAGGAACTTCCGGTCATCTTCGCTGGGTGTTTTCTCATCAGAGTAGACGTAAATGATGTCACAACATGGTTGGCACATTTTCTGATGGATAACGCTCGAAAGGAGAGCTTGSACTGAAGTTTCTTTTGTAATAAGTGAAGTAGGGCAAAGGGAAATGTAAGGAATTCGTTAGGGATATCAGAGTCAAGCCAGACAACCCAATTTATTCACTAATTAATGATCAAGTTGTAACCTCTTGTCACAGAATGTCTCTAAGATCTGGAAATAATCTTCGCTCCAATTGTGTGCAAACCAATAGATTCCAAACTTTTGTAACTGTAAAATTCCAAATGTAAGTGTTTTGTCCTTTTCCATTTATTTACCAAGCCTGCAATTCAGTATTATCATTACTGCCAGTGGCCTTAATAAACAGTATTATTAGTGCCTCTGGGGCATTGAGACCTATTAGATGGACATCAAAATGTATTTGTGGAAGATGGATATTCTGAAACTCGGTCCAGCGAGCAATATCCTCTTGTCTAGKGATTCGTTCTGTTGACACAGATATTGTTGGTCTTGAGAGGACCTCTCCAAGATGATTTGAGTTGTTACCATCAAGATTGGTAACCACAAGGTCTCTAAGGACCATGCTTTTGACTTCTGCCGTCTTCTCRATAGTAGTAAGGTTTATCTTGGATTTCATGACACTTGCATTTAGCTGCTGTATGAGGATTTCACTACAGAAGGATGAAGTTGATCCAGTGTCAAGAAGTGCATAGGTTTCTGTGTAATGACTGTGAACTCTTGCTGGTATTATTGGCAGAAGGACTTTGGCATGACAATCTGGTTCTTTCACCTTAGTTGAGCATGCAAAGTTTGTCGCCATTCGAGGGTCTTGTTTTGAATCGTTGACAGTAGTTGACGCTTTCCTTTGTGCAGGCATGGAGGAATCGTTACTTGGGCTTTCTTGGTTTTAGAATGGTGACGTGTTTTTTGTCACACTTTAGGCACGGTTTCTTGGAAAGGCAAGTTCTTGCTTGGTGACCTTTCCTCAAGCAACTGAAGCAAAGGCCTTTCTTTAAGATCAAATTCTTCCGTTCATCTATACTTTTGGTTTTTATTTGTGGACAGTGTGCAGAATCATGTTCCTCTTCACATACAGGAYAGGCAATTTTCCTCTCCTGAGGCTTGACTTGAGGTGTGACGGGCACCTTTTGTTGAGTCTGGACAGCAAGAGAGATTGGCATTTGCTTTGGAAGGAGCTGCCTGCTCTTTGGTTGTAACCTTGAATTGKTATCAGATGTCCTGCCAAAGATTGGATTGTTGAGCGAGCGAGCTTTCTTCTCTACGAACTCAGCAATATCGTCGATAGAAACCTCTCTTCGAAGTTCGTTCATGATGTGATCTGGGACGTCACGCCATTGCTGCTGTAAATTGTATGGCAATCTGCCAATTATCTGTCTCATGCTATCCAGGTTTTCGATTTTTCCTAGGTATCCCATGGCTGCCAACACGTTCTTACAGCTTGAAATGGCGATGGAGAAGTTTTCCAAGCTGTTTGCGTTTTCTGATGCAATTAGTGGGTATTTTATGATCTTCTCAAGGTGAGCTGCGGCAATATTGTGTCTTTCACCGAATTGGTCTTCAAGCAGTTGACGAGCTAGTTGATAGCCTGGGACAGGGTCCATGTGTTGGCAGCTCTTCACAAGTTCTTTGGCACGTCCAAACGATGTATACTGTTCCAGGTAGTACAGCTTGTCAGAGCATCTGGGCTCCTTGGCTTCTATGAGCGTTTCAAAGGCACGTATGAAAGAACGGTAATCGAGCGAGTTTCCTGAGAAGATCGGCATCTGCCTTTATGGTAGGTTTACACTTTGCTGTTGAGTGACGATTTCTTGCATGATCCTGTTCTGTTGTTGAAGGATCTACCTCTACAGGTTTTTGAAGAAAGGAACTTGGTGAAAGCAACGTTTCTTTGGTTCTATCGCGTGTATGCGGTACTTGAGGGTCTGTCTTGAGCCTGACGTGCGGCTTTGAGGGGTATGGTTTGCATAAAAATTCCATGCTGTCCTCACAATATTTCWTAGTCTGCCAGACTTGAGAGTCGTTTGGATTACCAGATCCATGTGGAACGTAATAGGAATGCGTTTGACCCAGGTTTGAGTAGTAGATCTGATCCACGTTAGACGTACTAGGACGCGACACCTCTTGATGGTCTGTCTGTATATGAATATGTGAAGGTTTTGGGATGTCTGGATAGCAACTATGATCCAGGTACGACTCTGGAGTGTCTGGAGAGACTTGTGAAGCTGTCTGTCTGTTCAGCTTTGAAGAGTGTGGCATATCTTGATAGCGCCTATGGTCCATGTGCAACTCTTGTGGGCGTGGAATGTCTTGAGAAGCTGTCCAACTGTTCAGCTGTGAAGATTGTGACACATCTGAATAAGTCAGTTTGTTCCAGGTACGACTTCTTAGGGCGTTGCGCATCTTGAAGGTCTGGGTAATAACTATGGTCCACGTACAACTCTGGTGGGYGYGGCACATYYTKRAGRTCTGTATGTCTGTACGACTTTGGAGGGCGTTGCACATCTTGCAGGTCTGCCTGTTCCACGTATGACTTAGAGCGTTGCACATCTTGAAGGTCTGGACAATAACTCTGGTCCACATACAACTTGGGTGGGTGTGGCACATACTGAAGATCTGTATGTCTGTACGACTTTAGAGGGCGTTGCACATCTTGCAGTTCTGCCTCTTCCACGTACGACTTCTTAGGGTGTTGCGCATCTTGAAGGTCTGGATAATAATTATGGTCCACATACAACTCTGTTTGGTGTGGCACATCTTGTCAGCGGTAGTGTACCTGACAATTGGAGGGTCGCACTTATTCTTATTACTTAAGAAGCTTGGTCTTGAACTTGTGTATCAAAACTTTCGTCCGGTTAGCAACCTTTCCTTTATTTCTAAAACTGCTGAGAAGGTAGTGATACCGTAGGTTCTCGCCCACTGCTGTGAGCATGCACCTCTACCGAATAATCAGTCATCCTACCGACAACATCATTCGACTGAGACTGCCTTGCTTAAGGTACAGAATGACATTCTCCTCAGCATGGAAAGGCAAGTTACTTTGCTCGTCTTGCTCGATCTTAGTGCGGCTTTTGATACGATAGATCACTCTATCTTGGCAGACCTACTAGTCATCAGTGATCTTGCTCTCTCCTGGATAACATCATTTATGCGTAGGAGGGTGCAACGTGTAACCATCAAGAAGGAGCAATCTCGGTACTTCTTCCTTTCTAGTGGAGTTCCACAAGCTAGCTGTTTAGGCCCTTTGTTATTCATCATGTACGCTTCTCGGTTGTTTCACRCGGTGGAAAAGCACCTGTCCTCGGTACAAGGGTACGCTGATGACACACAACTCTATCTTTCGTTTCGCCCTACGTCCACCCTTTCACAAGATCAAGCGATCCGAGCTATGGAGGATTGCATTGCTGATGTTTGTTTTTACTAATGTACACGCCAGGGTACAGTTTTCAGAGGTTTTTACTCGTCGTTTTACGGCAAACTGGCACCAAATTTACAATGACGGAAAAATAATATTAAAACTAAAGGTTTCAAGAAGTAAAGATCGAAAATATACTTACAACAAACTCTACCCGATGCTTAGAAGCAAATTACTTGACTGATTACGAAATGACAAACACTTACTTAAATACAAAAAATAAGGAGAGTTCCCTAGGGGAACAAAAATTGGGCTCTAACAGTGGTTAAGGGTGAGTTAAAGGGTTAAAGCTGGTATAATATGAGAAAAACGTCATCTGGTTATTGTTGCTACCTGTTTGAATATCTCACCTTTTGGAGAGCCAAATGTGCCTCTATAATTGGCAGACTGGATATTAAAAGCATCAACTTGACCAGTAGAATCCCCAATGATAGCAAAGTTGCCACAGGAACTCAAAGCAACAGCCTGAATAATAAAGATCATTGAATTATTTCACATTTGAGAAAAATAGCAATAATTATGGTATACTGCGTAAGAAAGTTTGACCACAAATGAATGTTATTGCTGCGAGTTGCCAGGTAGCTAATCTTGGTCTCTCAGTGGCGCACGATTAAATTCTTGATTATATCAGCAATACAGTTCCAGTTTCGAATCCTTTTTTGTGCAAGCTTAGATTCAATCAAGCATAAATTGATTTACATAGCCAAATATTCAAACTCTCAAGGGATGCCTGCTAAGTTTTTGCTTGTGTCTCTGAATAGTGAACAGCTCGTTCAAAACACAGCAAAACTTGGTTTTTAAGTTTAAAGTCAAACTCAAGCACAAGAGCCCCTAGACTTGAATGATTAAGCTTGGCTAGGTGGCAGAGGCGCTCTTCTGGAAGAAATCAGAGGTGGGAAGCGATTTTGCGAAGAAACTGGCGATCGTCAATTGGTTTAAAAAAGTGGAATCGACTTCCTGGCTGTCTTGTGTTTGGTTTCGCGACCTACCATGCTAATTTCGGCAAGTTGGACTACTGAAAAAAGCAATTGGCTAAATATTTTGTGGGTAGGGCCAAATGACTTGGGACTTAAAAAAATATTGAAAATGCAGAGTACAGGTTAGTCCCTGTACCAAGCCCCAGGCCCTCTCCGACAACTTGGAATCCAAGCGAGATAATAATCCAGTTTCGAATTCTCCAATGCTCTGTGTTAGCCTCATTTGTGCGCAAAACATTCCTAATTGTGAGAATAAAAGTGTGAGATTTCAAATCAATTCCATTGTATTTCTTTTCAAATTCCATGCGTTTTCTCGGGCTATCAATGAAACAAAAAGAATATTTTGCGTGGTTTTGAGGCTAACACAGAGCAAACCAGAACTCGAAATCGGAGTATTTACGAGATGTGGCATCAGCCTCGTTTTCACTAGACTTAAAACAAATGAAGTACAATAAAGCAGCGGGTTTCGACAGCGCTATCACCGCAGAAGCACTAAGAGGTAGTGGCGACCCCATGGTAGAAGTGATCCACGGTTTTTGCTCTGAAGTGTTTACGACCTGGACTCCACCAGTCCAGTGGATCACTAACAACATCCTCCCTGTGCCAAAGAAGTGGAACCTAACTCTGATGACTAACTACCGCGGAATATCTAATGTCTATAACTGCTAAAGTCTATAACAAGATTCTACTGATCAGAATTAGAGACCACATAGATCCCATCCTGCGGAGTAATCAAGCAGGATTACGGAAAGGCAGGAGCTGTACACAACAAATCCACATTCTCAGGAGGATCATGGAGAGGGCTTCGAAGATGGCCAGCTTCCACTCAACATCACGTTCATAGATTTTAAAAAGTCGTTCGATTCAATAGACAGAAAGGTCATCCTTGCTATTCTTAGACACTATACACCTTTACCATAATGGCTGCAATTGTGTTTTTCCAAAATAAAATAGATATGAATATTTTGTCACTGTAACATCAAAGAACTATCAGAAATAAACGTTTTTGGAACGTTTTAGAACTCTGGAGAAAATAGGAAAAAAGTTATGGTGAAATGAAAATACAAAGAAATGTATGTATTTTTCCACCAATGGCTGTCTGTCTATTTGTTTCTAAATATGAAATATGTGAAACTTTGTCACTAACTWACTGTCATGTGAATGAACTACCAAAAATAAACATTTTTAGAAAGTTTTAAAGCCCTGGATAAAATGCGAACAAAGTTATGGCCAAATGAAAATACAAGAAATGTATGTAATGTTTAGCCAAAGCCTTTATAGCCTCGTTCTGGTGTTATGATATACTTTTTAAAGTAATTAAAAATCCTTATAACTTCACCAGAATTTAATATTTTCATTTCAAACTTTTATATGTTGTCATTAGCACAGGTTCCTATCAGCTGTTAGTTTACTTTGACTAAAATTCTAAATTTTAAAAAATTATGTTAATTAGATGGCGGCCATTATGGTAAAAGTGTATGGAATCCCGGAAGCAGTTGTTAAAGCCATTTACGCACTGTACGTGGACTCCCGTAGTGCAGTGATGGTTAACGGATGCATATCCGACTCACTCGAGGTGACCACTGGAGTACTGGAGGGTGATGTCCTAGCACCATTCCTTTTCATTATTCTAGTTGATTATCTGCTAAAAAAAAGCAACAGATGGAATCAACGCAGGAGTGGTGACATATCATCGACGGTCCAGGCGACACCCAGCAAAACAATTGAACGATCTCAACTTTGCTGACGACATTGGCCTACTCGAATCCACAAGGTCACAGGCACAAGACCAGCTGACAAGAACAGCAGCAGCAGCAAAAGAACCAGGTCTCATCATAAGCGTCCCGAAAACAGAATACCTTCAACTGTGATCAGCATCCACCTCTAAAAGTGTACGGTGAGCCAATCAGACATGTACAAGATTTCAAGTACCTGGGCTCAATRATGGCATCTAGCTCAAACGATTTAAAAAGACGTTTGGGGCTAGCATGGAGTGCGTTCTGGAGTCTAGAGCATCTCTGGAGGAGCAACAAACTGCCTAACAAGACCAAAGTGAAGTTGTTCAACACAACAGGCATCACAGTCCTCCTCTATGGGTGTGAATCCTGGGTAATAACAAAAGCCATGGAGGACAAAATCAACTCCTTCGCAACATCCCGCTTAAGAATTATGCTCGGAGTCAAATGAACGGACCGAATCCCAAACACAGAGATACACGCCAAGACTGAAACAAAACCATTGATTCAGCAAGTTATAACCCGTCAGCTGAAATGTATGGGTCATATCCTACGACTCCCGGACAAGGAACCCGTCAAGTGCTATGCCCTATATATCCCACCCCATGGAAAGAGGAGACTACAATCTTGGACATAAATACTTGACAATTTTTCGCTTGGGCATTACAAATACTGTATCGTGTGCATAAACTGAAAATGTTCCCCTTCCCTCCCTCCCCTCCCGCATCAATGTTGCATGCAGGGGTTAATGAATGGACAACCAATGAAAAGAAAGCCACACAACATTGTATTGGGGGAAGGGAGGGCACGAGTAAGGTTTTATCGACGAAGAATGTTAGAAATTTCGTGCGTGCGTAAAAATTGTCAACATTTATGTTCAAGATTGTATTTTCCAATATTCTGGTTTTTAAAAGTTTTGTCGCGATATTTCGAAGTGTAAGCGGTACGTATCTCCTCTTACACGTAGATATAATTAATGGAATGGAGTAGTGGATAAGAAACAAACTGAATTACGTATATTTTGCCGTRAGAAGTTTCGAAATGGGCTCAAACTTTAGATGTCATGTAAATTACAAATCGCGGTGCACGTGACAAGGCAGAAGATCGTGAAATGCAATAATGATATTCAGATATACTTAACTCCTGCATTTATATAACAGCGAAAGTGATTTCAAAGAAGCAGCAAGCCGTAGAAGATGTTCGATTTCACAATTTGAAAAACACGATTTGAATGGTAAAAGCATACTGCTAATAACCAAAGTCCTACGTTSAAGGAAATGCATGATTTTCTTTCTGATCACGCTTATACTTTGGAGGAATCGGAAGAAAAATCAAAGAAATTCAACTATGAAAAAAAATCTGCAAATTCAACTGCTTCTGTGAAGTGTTTTAGTAACGTTCAAAAGGATCTGAAGGATAATTGTTTTTTGTGTGGAAGTGATCATCGYTTGTCCTATTGTCCTGAATATACACGTCTGGATGCGCTTGAAAGAAGGTCTAAAATTTTGTGTTTAAAGCTTTGTCTCAATTGTTTCTCAAGGCAGCATTTTGTGGCACAATGTCCAAAACCGCCAAGCTGTAGGGCGTGCAGGAAAAAACATCATCTGACGCTTCATGTCGATGATCTACACAAGGAAACTGTTGTAAAACATGAACTGAAGAGGTTTTAATAAACGAAACTAGTTTTCACTATTCTTGGTAGYCSCTGGCCTGTAYGTACGAAAATCWTTATGTTGGAGTGATTTACATTTGTAAAGTTTATGGCTGTTACAAGATTTTTTGAAGTCTCGGCGAAAGCTATTTGTCAAAGATACACAAGGAAAGTGTCGAAGTTTCAAGTTCATCAAAGTCTGTTGATGATAGTACGCCTATGTAAATTCTGATGCGCTTTCGTCTACATCCTGTCTGTTTTTCTGCACATATTGCCAAGATGTACAGGCAAGTCATTCTACCTATTGAAAGTTTGTCTGATGTTCAMAGTTTCACCAAGCGTTTGTTCCTATCTGATTCTTCACGCATTTTTGATCCCTTGGGTCTATTGGCACCCTTATTGATAACTACCAAGATAATGTTTCAAAGTTTGTGGTTGACAGGAATTTCGTGGGATAAGTTCCCGGAGGATTTACTTAAAACCTGGATGACCTGGAGGTCGGAACTGGCACAGCTTCAAAAGTCGAGGTTTCCTCGATGTATTGTCCCGAAGGCTTAAAAGGTTGTTATGTACGGGTTTTTGTGACGTCTCGGAGTCTGCGTATGCTGCCTGTGTTTACCTACATACGGAGACATTAAATAGCAATACCGCTACAAGTCTGGTTGCCGCAAAGACGAAAGTTGCACCTCTAAAACGGCTGTCTTTACCTCGCTTGGAATTGTGTGGTGCCTTGTTACTGTCTAGATTGATGAAAGGCGTCCAAGCTGCGTTTTCATTTCTGACGTTGATTTCGTTTTGTTAGACTGACTCACTTGTGACTTTGAACTGGATCTGTGGAGAACCAAGCAAATTGAAAGCTTTCGTGGGTAATCGTGTAAGCGAGATTCAAGATTTGTTAGGACCGCCGAATTGGCGCTACTGTCCGTCGCAAGACAACCCAGCTGACTGTGCGAGTCGAGGGATTTCCCCTACACAACTATTATCTCATCTACTATGGTTCAATGGACCTCCATGGTTAAGCAAAGGATCTGAGCTGTGGCCTGACCAACCCAGAGTAWTGCACAYMGAAGATGTTTGCTCTGAGCAAAGAAGTAATCAAGA